ATATGAAATTCACTTTTAGTTTATTTTATGAATAACATATTATATTCTGATTATTTTTAGTTTAGTTTCTTAAGTGTATTCAAAATCCAATTCCAATCCAGCTCCAAACTAAATCTTATGGATAATATTCTATTCAAATTTGAACATTAACGAGCCAAATTTGAATCTAGTTATATGATATCTGATTCAATTTGATTTGTTTGGAGATTTTTTTTTGCATGTTATTGATAGATAATATTCTTATTTCATGTAAACTTCTTTAACCATGTGAAATGTCACGTTCCCCATTTTGAGCTTCTAGATTCAATTATCCATAAGAAAGATAGATTACTTAAGATTGTTTTTCATAGAAATAGAGCAGGGCTGATAAAATAGATTTGTTCTTTTAAACATTTTGTGATCAATGTAGAAGGACAATTTCAGTGATCCAACTATAAAAGCCAGCATGTCTCTATGAAATAGAATGTTGGACAATTAAGAAAAAACACATGTAAAATGCAAGTGGCTTACGTGAGGATTCTGAGATCAATGTTCTAAAACCAGAATGAGCTGGATGATTGGACTGCAAAATGGGAAGTAGATTTTTAATGAGTTGGCCTAAGTGATAAACAGAGCTATTTGGAAAATTGAAGAGAACCATTCCAAACCATCTAATTATTTGGAATGCTGAATTAACCGTATACAATGCACAACCTCCTTTTATATATTTTCTCTTTTATTTTTTATAGATTTCCACTTTTGAGCTTCTTTACAAAATAAAAGAGGAAAGAAACTGAGGGGAAGGAAGGATATGGTATTTAAAGACAGAAACAGAGGTCAGAGAAAGAAAGGAAAGAATATTATGGTGAGCAAGAGGTGAGCTTGCTGTTTTAGCAATCTGATGATTTGCGTGCACACTCATATGTAGAGAGGGGTGGGAGGAGAGAATGGAAGGGAAGATACTGTTGTCACAGATCTTATGACATTGAGAGAGACACTGAAATTAGAACTATTGAAGTTTGAGGGTGTGATAAGTTTTAGATGTAAGAAATACCATGACATATATTGCTTATACTATGTACTGCATATTACTTAAGGGAGTTGGGACTCAATCCGGGTCTACTATCAATTCTCTTAGTTTGGCCCAATAATTCCATACAAGTAATATGCAGTACATAGGTGGTCTATAAGTATTGTAAATTTGAGTGACGTTAAGATGAAAGTACCATGATGTACATACAATGCTTATACACTGCTATGTGTTGCATATTCCTTAAATGAAATTGTTGAGCCAAACAATAGAACCAAAAGTAGAACTGGATCGGTTTCCTAAGATGCCTAGGTATGAATATGGACATGAGCACAGGCACAGATACCGGAAAATGACATGCAACCCTGGATATCCTGAGGTCCCAGAACAGATGGGGGATGTGTACCATTTAATATACTTGTGCCATGTTTTAGTAAGCTAGTAACCATTCTATCATATGCAGATTTTTTACGGTAATGATTTGTTGAAATATATGATTTTACGTACTTTAGAGAGATTAAGGAATGACACAAATGTCTATGCAGTTGTCAGTATCATATTTGCATATGTATTGTATCCAACATAGGTATACTAAGTACACTTGTCTGGATATCATATTTTGATGCAATGTACCGCCTTCATTGGTTTGATGTTTGGACCAGAGCTTGAAAAAATTTCTCTTTGGGAAAGTAAGACTAACTTATGTAGGTGACAATATGAAGTACAATCAATTAAAATGGTCTGAACATGTGTTTTGAAGATCGATGAGTGGAGAAAATAATCAGATGCAACTTGAAGGATCTGTAAGAGAAAGACAGGCCAAAAGGTGCATGAGTGGAAGTAGTGAGAAGGGAATAGAAGACCTCTGATTTCATTGGAAGATAACTGTGTAATGACTGGGTAAGTGTTGTGTGCTTGAACAATACACCAAAAGCCTTAAGACTGATGGAATGCGTCAAGCCAAGCAACTTTAACCATTTAGGGCCGTAACATACCACCATGCTTCTGCAGTTGACATCTCAGCATCTTCAGTCTAGGCAGCTCTCACTCTAGCGGTAGGTAGCCCTCTTCACGATGGCTCTTACTCTGGTGGTAGGTAGTCCTTTCCACAACAGCTCACACTCTAGCAGCAGGTAGCCCTTTCTCTTTGTCGGCTTTCACTCTGTTCCAAGTATCCCTTTCCATGATAGATTTCACTCTACTCCAGGTAGCCCTTTCCATGACAGCTTTCACTCTACTCTAGGTAACCCTTCTCCCAGGTAGCCCTCTGTGATTCGAACTTGAGACGTGGTGGAAAGCTCTGATACCAAATGTTGTGTGCTTGACCAATACACCAAAAGCCTTAAGACTGACGGAATGCGTCAAGCCAAACATTCAAACCATTTAGGGCTGTAACATAGCACCATGCTTTTGCAGCCAATATCTCGGTGGCTTGACTCTAAGCAGCTCTCACTCTAGTGGTACCCTTTTCATGATGGATCACACTTCAGCGGCAGGTAACCCTTTCCCTTTGGCGGCTTTCACTCTGCTCCAGGTAGCCCTTTCCGTGACGACTTTCACTCTACTCTAGGTAGCCCTTTCCATGACAACTTTCACTCTACTCTAGGTAGCCCTCTCTGTGATTTAAACTTGAGACATGGTGGCGGGCTTCGATGCCAAATGTTGTGTGCTTGACCAATACACCAAAAGCCTTAAGACTGATGGAACGTGTTAATCCAAACACTTTGACCATTTAAGACCGTAATAGTAAGATTTGTCAGCCATCCCTAAATGGTTTAAGACAAGTTGAGCTGATTTTGCAATTTAACAATTGAATATGCAAAAATAGATGCAAATGAGTTTGATAAAAAGGTAGAACGAACTAGACTGGTAATGTTTAATGGGGGCCTCAGAAAACAGAGGCTTAAGCTGTGCCTAGATTTTGGGCATGGAACTGGAAATTAAGTTTCACTGCTAACCTAATTCTACAGTTTGCAAACGATGCCTATCCCTATAAATTTTGCAATCCTTAAGGGAAAAAAAAAAACAATAGGGATGCAAACGGATCGTATTAGATTCGAATTAGGGTATATCCAAATCCAATCTGATAAACTGTAGGTCTGATCCAATCCAATTTGAAGATCCGATTGGATCTTACAAACACCAATTCGAATTTAAATCCAATAAGGATGTCAGATATCCTACTCTGATCCGATCCAATTTAATTTTTAAAAACTTTAATAAATTATTAAAAGGATAACAGTTTAAATAAAAAACAAAAAATACAAGTATTTTTTCAACTATTTTCATCATATATATACATGCTGTTTTTTTATAAAAAATAAAAAATATAAAAAATTTATAATAATGCAATATATATGTATGTTTGCATGTAATCGTATCAAATCCTTTTGTATTGGAACTATTATCCAATCCAATCTGAAAATCCGAAATGAGGATATCTGAATCCGACAAAATAGGATTGGATTGGATCATGATCTGATCCATTTGCACCCCTAAAAAACAAGGATTGAGGTCTTAAATCTGCTAGCTTCCGTATTCTACTCTGTCAGGAAATTGGAAACAATTGATGGAATCCAGAAACTTGCAGAATTGGCCCCCTGATTGCCGATTTCTTTTCAGATTATGTTTCCACCATGATCCCATAATGAAATTATTATCCAAAATTTCCCATGTTCATTGTAATATTTTCATTTCTCTGAGGGAAATCCATTGCTTGTATCAGTTATCGTTGTATCTTGACAACCCATAGTTGAAAAGAAACAGGGTTCGTGCAGCCAACCCCATATAATTGGGATAAAGGCTTGGATGATAATACTGATGATCTTGATGACCCATCATCTTATTCATTATCTAAAATCATGGGTATCCTTACAATGGCCTGGAGATAACATTAACAGTCCACTAATCATGGGTAGCCTAAAATCAGTGGTCAGTGCTAATCTGTTCTATATCAACTTGGCTTTCTTGGATTCTTTTTTAATCATTAGCACTCCAGATTTTATTGATTTGAATGGAAAAAAAAAAATGATACAACTATGTGCCAAGCACTCCAAGGCTAGATCTTACTAGTCCCCAAACAAGCTCCATCCTGGGGATTACATTTACACCCCCAAACAACTGATTCCTTGCTGTTCTCTGTTCACAAGACCAGCAGTGAAAGAATTTGGTGGCCTTGGAACCCATCTGTAGTCTATATTGCCTCCCTCCAAGGCACTAACTTGCTCTTCAATTTCTCTCAAGACATGTATTTACCTCCAAGGAGTGGGCCTTGGCACAATGGTTAGGTTGCTCCATTGCAACCTCAGGGTACAAATCTTGGAAACAGCCTCTCTGTATGTGCAGGGGTAAGGCTATGTACACCTGTCCCTCCCCAAGCCCTGCATTGGCAGGAGCCTCATACACTGAGCTGCCCTTTTATGTCTGTACCTCCAAGAGCCTGTCCTTGTTAGCCACCACACCAACAATTTGCTCTTCCTAGCTTTATTATCAAAAACCCTGTACTTCCTAGCTTTGGTTCCTTTCATAGTATATATCAGATCATACCAATACTTGGTGTTTTTAGGAACTAGTAACTCCACGAGCTTTAAAAATTCATATTTTCATTTTTTTTGGGTTCATGGGCTACACAACGTTCATATTTTCATGTGTACCCATTGACATGTAAAAGCGCTGCATTGAACATCCTGCTCCAGAACATTGCAATATGAAATTACATTCCAACTCCAATTCTCCATATCTTCACTATTTTGTTTGGCCATTTAGTGAATGTTTATATGCTATCTGTGACCTTTTAGTGTCCAATAAAACTCTTTAGACTCAAAAATATTTCATGTCTATGAAAATATTGTGGATGAAAAAAAAATTCCAGGCATCATATTTAAAACAGAAGTATGTATGTCATAAAGCTATAGCATTTGTTGTGTTTGTATATGCATCTACATTTATTTTCAAGAATTAATCCAATTGATGCATTTTCTTTCCTGTACAGCTAGTTTCAGCGTTTTCTAATGCACAAGGGCACGAATACTTTTATGCTTCTCTATATGCTGGGCTTTATTATGAATCCCAGGTTTGTTATCATCTTAATGATTTCTCTTCATCTATTTTTATTATATTGGGTCTAATTAAATGCACATTGTACACTTTACAATTTATATAGTCCATGAGAAAAGGGCAGCCCAGTGCATGAGGCTCCCACCAATGTGGGGTCTGGGGAGGGACAGATGTATGCAACCTTACCCCTGCACATACAGAGAGGCTGTTTCCAAGATTTGAGCCCTGGTCACCCAGGTCACAAATGGAGCAACCCAACCATTGCGCCAAGGCCCACCCTCTTATATAGTCTATAGAATAAGTTTTAAATGTTGGATGCCAACCTAATACAACCCTCCTTTGGCTTGGGACCAGCAGTGGAAGACAAGCTCTCACTGGTGGAGTTGAAGGGGCTAGAAGGGCTAGGGGCAGACCAAAAAGGACATGGATCATAGTAATAAGAAGTTAAGTGCTCATAATTTAACACTTGATATAGCATTAAACAGAACAGAATGGTAAAGCAGGACTCATGTAGTTGATCCCATATAATTGGGATAAGACTTAGATGATGATGATAATGATGATAATCTATAAGAATAATAATGTGACTTAAAAATTGTTTTTTGTTGTTATCTAGTCTTCAGATCCTTTTTCTTTTTTTTTTGGAATCTTGTGTGATAGGAGAATACCACTTAGGTTACAGGAAAATTTTATAAAAAGTTAATAAGGCCAGTAATGTTGTATGGAGTAGAGTATTGACTGTTGAGCAGTTAGGAAGCAATATGTCCAAAAAATGGTGTGGTAGAAATGCAAATGATGAGATGGATGAGTGGGAAACTAGAAAGGATAGGATAATTAGGATTGGAATGAACTTATTCTAAGGAAGCTATGGGTAGCCAATAGAGGTGATAAAATGAGGGGAAGTAGCCTAAGATGGTTTTAGCTCATGCAAAGAAGATACAGCAATAATAAGAACTGATCTGTTACAAGTTGAAGAGGCTAGAAGAGATAGGGGCAGACCAAAAGGGGCATAAGTTGAAGTAGTGAGAAATGATTTAAGAGCCCATAGTTTAACAACAGATATGGCACTAAAAAGAATGCAATGACGAAACAGCATTCGTGCAGCCAACCACATATACTTGGGACAAGGTTTAGATGATGATGATGATCAGAAATATCAATATTACTTGCTAGTTATATTGTATCAGTTTGAATATGTTTTGGGGTCAATTTAGTGCTACTGTTTTATGTGATTTTAGTGCGAGGAATAGGAATTCTAGATCAAGAATTATCAAAAAATTTTGTACTTGCCCATTTTGTGTATACAAGGACACTAATCATCTATGTTCTTTTTTTTCCCCTTTTTATGTCTCCTTTCTCAGTTATACTGGCCTTTGTTGAACGAGAAAAATATAAGGTGAAACTCTGATTCAAACCCTCAACCTCTTCCACCTTCTACACTCCACCTGGCAAATCTTAACCAGTGTTTTAGAAAAGTTTAACTGGATGCCTACCCTAGCCAGGTCACTGATAATCAAATGCCTTCCTGGGCCTAAAGATCACCCTACCTGCAATCAGTAGCAACCTGAACTTAATCAAAGAATTTGTTACTTTCTCTTCATTCACTAATTATCAAATCTGCGACCATGTGTAACCTTATCCTATCCATTCTTTTTTTTTCAGTAATAATCTCATCCATGGGTTTTATAATCATCATCGTCGTCATCATCATCATTATCATCATTATATGGGGTCATCTGCATGAAATCTGTTCCACCCTTCCGTTCTATTCAGTGTCATATCCATTGTTAAATTATAGGCCCTTAAATCATTTCTAACTATTTTTAGTCCATATCCTTTTTGGTCCACCCTTTCTAGCCCCTTAAACTTGTAGCAGCTCACTTCGATAAAAATAATATTTAATAGGTGACAATTATAAGATAATCATCTGATGATTGAGTTCCAGCATAGGAGCATATATTTAGAGATGATCATTGTGGTTATCTTACTACAGAGAAATGGATTTAATTAGAACTAGTGAATATTGACTTCTGATATTACAAAGCAATGTGTGTGTGTGTGTGAAGTTCTGATATTTTAATTATGATTATATTGACGCTTAGATTAATATTTATTGGTATGCCATAACCACTATTAGGGAATTGTTTTGTATGCGGTACTGTTGTCGCTTAAGAGAATAGCTTTTAACTGTGCAGAATAATCCAGATGCTGCAAAGCCTCATTTACTTGCTGCATGTCAATCTCCTTATGGGCTAAGGTTAAATTGCAGAAACATTGACCTAATTTTTCCACCAATGTCTGATGTAATCAAGCAGCACCAATGTTCTAATTCATTTCATTTTTTTACTATAGGTCCAATGATTATATGGCTTCTCTTGCCAAGGTTCACCGTCTTTGTCGAAACTGGAGCACCAATTAAACCTTTCAGTGTTGTTGATACTAATAGATATTGATATATTCGAATTTCATTGGATTATGTTTTCCGATCTGCTTTGATTAAAAATATGCTAAGATATATTCGAATCCAACACAATTAGATCATATTCAAATTCGAATTGGATTAAAATCCGACTCATTTACAACCCAAGCTGCTTTGGGGAAACCACTAGAAGCAGTTTCAATGGAAATACCAAATTTCTTTTGTTGAAGTACCGTAAAATTGGGAGTTTTCAAAATTTCAGTTTTAACCAAACATTGCTTGTGTTGTGTGTGTGGTGCCCACCTCTTAAAGCCAAAAACAATCACGGGAAAACCCTCCCAAACGCAGTTTGGATCTGATAGGCACAGCGTTGTAAGTATGTTAAATAAGCACTTGAAAATTTTCTTGACACCTGTCCCTTGAAGTATCCTCACTTCTAGGGGTGTTCACGGTTCAGTTTGGAGAAGATCTCAGACCAAATTGGTAAATTATGGTTTGAGAAATTTTCAAACTGAACCAAACCATTTTGGTATGGAAACAAAATCATTTTATTACGGTTTGATGCAGTTTGGGGACTTGGACCGTTCTATGATTCTATTGGGCTTAATCCAATTAGAAAGCCCAAATAGGTTCTCTAAAAATTAAAACTTAAAACTTTTATTTTATTATTTTATTATAAGATAAAGAGTTTATTATATATTTATAATTTTATGCATTCAATTTAGATATATTATATTATATATAATATTTATACATCATATATATATATATATATAATTTCAGTTTACGGTTTACAGTTTGGTTTGATTTATGAAATCCAATAAACCAAACCGAAACCGTAAACTGTAATTTAGAAAACTATCAAACCAAACCATACCAAACCACAAATTCAGTTTGGTTTGGTTCAGTTTACAGTTTGAACCGTATAATGAACACCCCTAATCACCCCACCCTTGAAAAAGATTAAAACTAAATACTTATTAAGTGTTCATTTAACGTGCTTACTTATGTTGAGCCTATTAGATCCAGTCCCTCTCAAACGAGCACTTAATCCTACTTACTAGGTTAGTCTGTACTAAATCCCACATAAATATGGTACAGGGCAAGGTTTTTAAAACCGGACCAGACAAGAAACCTTTTTGGGGACTGGTTCCCAGGTTGAATGGTCCAACCATCCGATCTGAACGGACAGTCTGTTTTGACAAAAAAAATAAAAAATAATAAAAAAAACAAAAAATGACCAAAACTGTTGTTTGGGTTGAGAGTTTGACCGCCTGAATCAGTGATTCATTCAACAAATCAACGGTTTTTGGCCAAAAAGTGGTTTGGGGCGCGTAAAATGATCAGTTCTTAATTTTCCAGTCCGACCATGCGATGAGGTTTTGAAAACATTGGTAATGTGGATATTTGTATATTAATTAGAAACAAAAATATGAGAAATATCAGTACACAATTTATGAGTTTAAAATGACGTTTGGTTCCGAGCACGTTTAAAGCCTGAGAAGATGTGCTGAATGTCAAAGGGTAAGTAGACTCACTACAGATCTTACAAAAAAGTAAAGGAAAAAAAATCACTAACAGAGATATTAATCAGGCCCTCTTGCTTTTTTCATATACCAGTCCAAGTTGGGCAGACGGTTGAAGTTTTCAAATGGCTAATAGAGAAAAAGAAGTTTTAACATGTGGCATTATATGGTTGTTTTTTTCCTTTATTGCCGAGGTGAAAATCAGTGAACCACGTCACCATTAACACAATTAACAAGAGCTTGGCAATTACCCTCACGAAACCACAATTAAGAGCAGTTTGGAAAGGCTTCGTGATTGAGTTGCATTGACTGAACCACTTTTGAGAAGTTACCCAGGAAGGCTTCAATGGAAAATAGTTTTTTTTTTTTTGTTCATGGAAGTTTTTTTTTGGCTTTCTGGTTTTTTACCAAACAAGGCTTAATGATTTATGGGTTTTTTGGCTATTACAATGCCAGATTCAAATCTAATCCCATTTTTGTCGGATTTGGATCATTCTCTATCAGATTTTTGGATCGGATCAGAAAATAGGATCCGATTCGAATCGAATTCGGATCACACTCTATTTATTCTGAAAAGGTCCGATCCAAATCAACATATATATATATATATATATATATATATATATATATATATATATATATNATATATATATATATATATATATATATATATATATATATATATATATTAAAGGCATGTATATATTAATATATTTATTAGCATATTTATTTATAAATATGTTTATATTACATTTTTTGTAATAATTTATTAAAATGTTATGTTTTTTCTTTTAATAATTTATTAAAATGTTCAGAATTTGAATTCGATCGGATTAAATTAGAATATCTAACATCCTTAACCAATTTGAATTCAAATAACCATTTATGAGATCCGATTATATATTCAGATCGGATCAAATTTAAATATACCCCGATTCAAATCCGACCCGATCTGTTTGCTTCCCTTATCAACTCATGGAGAAGAGGCAGTCTTACATGACCAAAACCAAGTAGCCAAACGGGACCCGTAGTTGGTAACTTGGTATTATTCGAACTCCAGAAAGACTTTCACCAGAAATATTCTTTCTGAAGCCTAAAGCATAAACTAGAGGTTGCCAAAAAGAGCACTTCCACCCTTTTTTCCCTTGTCATCCTTCCAGAATTCCGACCAAAAGGAAAAAAAAAAAAAAAGACAAAAGAAAAAAGAATCAAAAGTTTGAACTCATCTGTCAATTTGTGTAATATGATCCCCTCAACGTGAATTAAAAAAATATAATGGAGTAGAGGACCCGAAGAAGGCGTATTTGTAACGCAACCCTTAGAATGACTGATATACCATTTTGGAGTCTGGATCTGCTCTTTACAGAATGTTCATGCCTGCGCCCCACAATGATCTACAGTACATCTCCACTTTATATTGGGAACATCTTTCAGTGATGTCTCATCATTTTCAGGAGATGGGATCTGTTCTTCATACCTGGTGCTTCATTGGCGTTTCACACGCACATTACCACGTGGAAACATTTTCCGTATTTATTAGTTATTATTCATGGGAGATGTTCCCTAAAATACCCATCTGTGAGGAGCAGACCCCATCACCATTTTCAATACTTGTTATCGGGAGATGTTCTCAATACAAAATGACAAAATGTGGATGTACTGTGGATGGGCCACTCCCTTGTGAGGTCGGTATGAGACGTGCTATGTGAGGAGCAGATACCAATTCACCATTTTTACGAGTGAAGAAGAAAAATCCACTATCAGATCATAACTCGATTTTGGTCTTCTAATACGTAGAAAAAACGAGGTCCGAACATTTTCCACCCGTCACTTGGTCAAGGCGGCACGGCAGCTTGGGTCAAACCTAAATACCTAATCCTGCCTGGCTGCCCAACTGAAAAATGTTGACCCCGTCAGGCGTCCATAACACCTCCATTCAGATGGTTGACCGCTGAACCACACCATCTGTCTATCGGACAATAGATTATGGATCAAATCATGAACCCTCATATTTTATCATCGATAGGCTTTGCTTTTCCAACAAAAGCCCTAAATATTAAAACCCACGGTTATCATAGAATCCAAAATTCTGATTCTGATCCGATTGTTTCATATCCCCACCTTTTTTTTAAATCAAACACAACCTAAGGTTATGTTCGGTTTGAAAGAAAAGGTAGAGAAATGAAGAAAAAGACAGAAAAATCAATTCAAGGTTTGTAATGGTTTTTTTACTATTCTTTTCCTTTTTTTTTATATTTTCCTTCAAACCAAACATAGCATAAAAGAATCAAAATTAGATTCTAAAATTTCTATCAACTTAACAACTTCGTCGATTCATCCAATACATTTATACATACAGGTTTATACTATTTGAAACTTTGAATTGAAGTGAACAAGTAGTAGATAAATTTGTTGTTGAGTTAGACTAGTTTGATGACTTGTGCACACAAAAATTAGAAGCCTCGAGGTAATTTTTCAAGGAGAACCATTCTGACATGAAGAAAAATGGAAATCAACTAGGGCAAGCTGGTTGTAGTTGTACGAGTCGAAGAGCTTTAAATGAGAAAAAAAGCAAAAGGGTTCAAAGAGTTTTGTTTTTTAAACAAAAAGGGGTTCAAGAGGGTTCAAGAGCTGGGGAGTGTGAAAAGGAGTTTCACCTTAGGTGACGTGACCTTATATACATGTTGGGGGAATACGCCATTGTGATACACATGTCAACTTCCCAGGCAGTAGGCAATCAAGCATTAAGGGGCGTGCGCCATATCCCATATGTTTTGTGCGAGAAGCTCAGGATGTTGGTGCCGAGTTCGGCTTATGTCAGGGCAAGTCAGTGCTCGCTAGGGCTGTTCATAAGAATGCCCAACCCGACCAAACCGACCAATCCAGACCGATCCAACCTGAATCGGCTAGGTTTTCATCAGTACCGGTCGGTTTTGGGTTGGGAAAATATATAAACTAATATATCGGGTCGGTTTCGGTTTTCTTGTGTGCAACCCGACCCGAACTGAACTAGTCTTCTACTAGTTCGGTAGTTCCTAGTTTGAGTAGTTTCCTACTTAACTATAACTAGTCTTCTACTAGAACTAGAAGGCCCATTAGGCAATTACAATTAGAATAGGCAATCTATCCTAGTTTCTAACTTTCTATAATCTTTTACACCAAATAGGCAACCCATTAGGCAATTACAATTAGGTGTCCTTTTGTACGGGAGCAAAACCGAAACCAACCCAACCCGACTCAAACCGACCAGGCCGGTTTGGCCTATCAGTGGGTCGGTTTCGGTTTCCACCTCAGGTAACCCGACCAGGTCGGGTCGGTTGGGAAAACCCCAATAAACCGACCTACCCCGACCCATGAACACCCCTAGTGCTTGCATCATTTGAGCAGCCCCTTGCAATCATGCATTAGGAATATCTCCCATGAAATAAATCACATAAGTATGGAGGTATTCCTAACGTAAGGCTGTAAAAGCTATTGGAACTGACTTTGCCCTAACTGAAGTCGGACTCGTTGGTGCCAATCTTAATGGTGGCATGAGGGGCCTTGTTTGATGTTTTCTATGTGTCTCCA